AGATTATTGGGGTTAAATTTTAGTTGGAGACGAAAATCCCCAATTTACTATAACGTAAGTATGACTAGGGAGGTCTCGGAGATGTAGGTCATGTCCTTTTGTTGCTAGCCTTACTGTCTCAAACCCATGCGTCCTTGTTTCATTAGACTACAAGGTAACGTTTTTTTCACGAAAGGTTACTCGGTGGATCTTGTTGGATTTGTAAAGCTTTTTTTTCATAACAACTTCCAAGGTCTTTCATAAGTTCTCCGAATTTCACGATTTCAGCTTTGTTCTGGTATTATTTTTAGCGTTGAACTATAACTCTATTTCTAAACTTCGAAGTCGATCGGAAAATTCAGATACTCACGAAATAACGAGAGTTTCGCTCGGAAAGTACGTTTCAGAAACACTTCTATAGGGCTCATTCCTTCTAGGGACGAAGTGCGCCGTCATTGCTTTATAATGTAATAACAACTCTAGTAATGTGCTACACTTTTCCCGTTTCGGTTTAATGAGAGAGTATTTAAACGTGTGCAAAAGACATTTAGTCTGTCCGCTTGACCGCGGGTAATATGGCGGGGATCGTAGATGGTAAGTGTCGCGTGTTTCGCATGAGTTTGTCAAGAGTTTCTATCTGAACTGGTTGCCATTGTCTGTAACAATTACATTACGACATCTGAACTGCTCGAAACTTTTTCGTACTTATTAAATAGTAACTCTGATTATTTCGAATAAGTATCCGCTATTAGTGAATCTACTTTACCCTTCACAGTTGCAGAGAAATCAAAATGTACTCTAAAGCAGAGTTGTAGTAATTAAAGTAATATCTCTGATCTAATTGGGGTCGTAGAAACTTTTGCGCATCAAAGACAATTTTTTTTTAAATCAAAAGTTATATATTATGGTCTATGCCTGGCCCTCTCGCTACTTGTTTTATGAGGGTCACTTTACGATAAGCTGTATGAAAAGTTTTCATCATTTGTGGCTTAAAACATGTAAGAACCACTGTACTATCAGTTATAATTAGACAAGCTTTATGAATTGTTAGTATAGCTCTAGTAGGCGAATTGCCAAGATGAATCTTCCTCGGAGATTTGTTGTGGGCACTCTTATTTACATGTGTTGTTACGCGGAGTAAGAGCTTATTAGCTTTCTTTTCACTTGAGGTTTTGCTTAAGCTAGCTAACATTTCAAAAGGTTGTACCTTCACAAACATAACAGGTGAACTTTTGTCTGGCGAAGGCGATGATGGCAGGTATTTCCTTTCTGACCTGGGAGTATTTTTGTTCTAATTGTAAGTGATCTGATTGAGTATGAAATAGCTTTTTACTTTCCGTTAAGATATTTATGTCGTATGGCCGCGTTTAGTCCGTACTGATATAAGTTGACAGCAACAAATAATGAAGGTTTTCGATCGTAGTAAGCAAAGAGTCTTCGAAGAGAATTTCCTTCATTTTGCTCAGCTGTGCCTGACTTTTTTCTCTTAAATAAATGAGGTGTTCTTCTGCAGGAAGTAATCTAGGAGAGCTCTAGTCCACGATGCAGCGGGATAAATGTACCGTAAAAATTCGTCATCTCCAACACAAAGCATTGCTAAGAGCTATTCTGCGGAGCAAGCGGATAGGTTATTGCTTATACCCTCTCTGAATCGGGCGGACGTCCTGTTGTATTGAATGAAAATCCTAGATATCGTATTTGAGTCTTTATGAACGCACACTTGCTGATTCCTAGAAGGTAAACATCTCCTGGAAAAGCTGACGAATCCAATTGCCATATTCTTCTAAGGTGGCGACAGTCATTGTGACGCCATCTAGGTACGCACATACTCCGGAAAGATCTTTGATCAGTGTATTCATGATCTGTAGGAATATGAAGGGTACAACCTATATGTCGAATGGTAGCCTGGTAAACTGATAGATTTCTTCAGGTGTTTTGATGCGTACGATTTTCCGACCTCGTTCTTTAACTTCTTGTAAATAAAACTCACTAAAATCAACCTGAACACCGACCTCCGCTCAACTAGGTGAGGATATTTCAGGTGTTGAATGCGAGTTTAGCTCTCAGTAAAGGTGGCATAGAAAAAGCAAGCGGCTCTGCCTTACGAAACGTAGATCTTGCACCGGGCTGCAGTTGTATTTCCGCTTCTATTTTGATACTATATTTTAGATCTGCCGTTCCTTAATACAGATATAGTCTTCAAAAAACATGAAAAAAAAGTATCTGACTTGTCCAAATAAGGTCGATTTATGTATCCTTTTTCCGCAACTTCATGTCGTTCTTTATCCAAGCACACCTACGAGGGTATGCGGATGTACAACCATGTAACATTCCAATTTGTAAGCTGTCTTGTTAAATTAAAAACTATACTGTAATTTTCCATGGGAAATTAAGGGACTTTTATTTGCTATGGGTAGTTTTGTATTTCTGAATATGGCTTTGGTTTTTTTCAGATGTCCCCAGTTCTCGAGGTTCAAGACGGTGAAGTCGCTACCACTATAAACTTGTATTTTTAAATTTGTTCCATTAATAAGGTTGAGATTTCTTAATAACACAGTGAAATGCCCGTTTACCACGTCGGTTCGTCGTATTCTCTTTTGCAAGTATCCCAAACCTTTTCTGTGACCAGTGAGAACAGTTTGTCTACAGCAAGGTTATGTATGTCCTCAACGGTGGCGTATAGGATATACATGCTCTCGGAACGAGTGATCACGTAACCAGCGATGTCCTTTGCAAGTGGGACTTGGGCCTGACGGATTGGTAGTCTTTTCGTAATAACTTTGTTTATTTTTCCACCGCTTGAATTGTTTAGACCTTTATCGGTGTCTCTACTCTGTGGGAAGTATAGATGAGTTCCTATCACCTTCTTTTTCATGAGGTCCTTAGGAGTGGTCCGGCGAACAGTGTCTTGTTCAGGATCTCGTAAAGGACATTAAGCACTTTATCTGAATTAGGCGAAATATTAGCCATTTACGCCAGCTCGTGTCTTTTGTTTACGGAAGTGACGTTTTGTGTCGAATGCACCATTGCTGCCATTGGCACATCGACTTTGCAGACGTCGGCAAAAACACTTGCTACAGCACTAAAGAGAATGGTAAAAATTCGATCAGCTGTTAAATTCTGATAATTCCCGAGCGCCTTCACCATCAATGTTGACTATCATCGTTGCTGGTCGGCTGATGATGACATTATTAGATTTCAGACTACTCTCGTATTAGCTAAATCAACGACTGAATTTCAGACCATCCCCTGGAACGTAGCCACCTACATTTAGAATCCGACCAATAAAGTTTGATTATTCTATTCTCTGGCAGCTTTTGTACTTAAGAAAGGTTTACCATATGTTTATAATGTTGAAAGCAAACAACACAATCTATTTCGATCGCTTTACTTGAAAAACAAACATTAACAAGCAGGACTGTTCGTTCAAAGTTCTCCAATATGATTTTGTCTGCATATTAGGTAACACCTTTTATAACATCTTGAGCTCGCCGACCATTTTGCCTTTCGGCTATCTCCTTTATTAGAAGCGTCCTTTGCTGACAATAGTTAGAAAATATTTTCATTCATCATAGCACACTGATTGTTCTATCAATCCTGGCATCGGAATAGACCAATATAATCAGCGTCGTAGAAGATCTGCCTGTGATTTGTGCCAAACTTATGCAAATTAAACATGAATTTATATATAGGCCCTTGGAAGTCAGTCTTTTCGGTCGGTCGGCATTTTGTTATAGCAGAGAATAACGAGTCCGATGCCGCGAGAAACACTTTTTGGCCAAAAATATCTGCCTAAATGTTTCTTTCTAGGGACGCATTCGAATCGAAATAAGACGAATCTAGCAGCAAATCGACACAGTCCTTAGTACACGACGATGGGAAAGTTGTGCGACCAAAAATAAGATACGTACCATTTGCTAAAGCAGACGTCAAAGCGACACAAGCTATCAAAGCCGAAACATTTACGAAGAAATCTCTAAAACGTGGATTAAATATGTTGGCGATAGTAGAACAAGTTCGCCAGAACAGGAAGCTTAGCCCGAAACGAACGGGCCCGCGGAATTCAACAAGGAGGTTCCATGAGCAGAAACTTCATCCGTCAATGAGACAGTTCCAAGGGTCGCGTGTGGTCTAATTGACGATGGCTTGCTTAAACAGTCTTTCGAAAGAGGCCGTTGTTCAAGCAAAGGTTACCCCAAAGGATGAGCCCCAAATGAAGGAGTTCGCTAAAAAATAGATTGACTTCTTTCTGCAGATCAACCGAGAGCACACGAAGGCGCAGCAAAAAAGAAGTTCTTCCAAATTACGTCAATTAGGGCATTGGATTGGTGAAACTTACGTCCAATGTACTCTCTCCGATTTGTCGAAATATGCGCCGTCGCTGGTCAGGTTTTTTAACACAGCGAATGAAGATAGGTCGAGCAGGCTTTATTGTGTGCTCTTATAAATTCCGTATCGTAATCCTGTAATTCTTTGCGAGTATCACTATTATTGTAGCTTGTTAATTGTATTAACTTACGGACACAAAATGTCCTAGCCCGATACGGACAAATAAAAAAGATTTCACCTTTGCACTAAATGATTAGCTGCTTTATTTTCTTTATCCGTTCTTGACCAGCTAATCAGCATTTCATCTGTTCAGATCTACCGAAAATAAAGCGTTCACCACAGGCATCAGTTTGTGGTGCCACAGTTGCACTTATGTGTGGTTCCGCTGAAATGGCTTTCATATTTTGCTCAATATTAAGGATGGTGTCGTGTTATGTATCTAATTTTTCGCCATCTAGTATTTTCTGCCTAGTTTCACGAAGAAACACGCACTCGTAACAGGTGTTATTGATTTTCCCGTCTGCAACTACTGGATTCAACCTTATTATCGTATAATTAATTATTGTTTCCCATTTAGCATTTATCTCACAAATCGCATAGACAAAGATAGATCTATTGCTAAATAACATCAATATTGTTATAAGACACATTTTTTTTTGTCCTGCAGGATTTAGACTAAAGTGTCATACACCGTTGGTAGCCGATTTGCGCCTTATATTGAGCTACATTTTGTGTCGAGTCGTATGCTCTACGATTCTGCAATCTCACAGCCGTCAAGCGAGCCAAAGAATGTTTAAATGGCTGTCCTACTTAGTATCCGTTTTTTTTTTTCGTTGGACACAACTTTGAAAGTGAGCGCAGAATTGTGTCCTATAACGTTCATCGCATATGATTCACGGTTTCTGCATCTTTTCGTTGCATGTGTAGGTGTGACGCTCCATTGAATCACGTTCAATGAACAGATCTGCAGCCAATTTAACATGGCGCATTCAGTAGAAAAACTGAGTTCGGATTACCCCCTGACGCCTTACAGATAGTCCTGTTAGGAACAATCGAACATCTCAATTTGTCACGAGGTCAAACCATGGGATCTTGCGGATAACGAAGTGAAAGCATAGTGGTTTTATTATCCAAATGGCTGGGCATGGGTGTTGAGTATGGGTAAAGAATATCCCGATGACGCCAGCAAAATCGTGTACCCACCTGAAGAAGATACCAGCCTTACTCTAGATACCGAAGAGGTTTCCGAAGATGTTGACGTTCCCGAAGAAATCGAGGATGTTCCCGATATGGAGCCTTCCGACCATGTGGAAAAACTCAGAACAAAAGCAATCGTGAGGCCCAGTAAGCCACAAGAAACGACCCATGCATCGGAAACATTTTGGTGAGTCTATCTGAAACCAGCTTACAAAACAGGATTATGCGCTAAATCTGAAGCACCACGATGTTGGAAGCGACCCGTTGACACTGTTGCTCTAGGTGGCGCCGATGTTTTAGATGTTTTGTGGAGTTCTATGCTTGCATACCGACTCAAATAACCGCTCCAATGTTACGAACTGTAGTGTTGTGAGTCTTTGGTCTTCGTCGTACCTCTGTGTGTTTTGGGTTATCTCGTAAAGCCCCTAAAGGTGTCCATTTGATGCTGTGGTGCAATTATGCCTTTGAAGTGCTATGATCAAAGCGATGGCCTAGATGGTCTGAAGCCTTACGTTTCAGAGTTTCGTTTGCTAGATGCCGTGTAGCTGTATCGATGAAAAAAAATATGTAAATACTAATTTAAGCAAGTCAATAGAGAATACTGCTCATTTACCGAGGTCAGTAGTAAACGTAGCAAAAACGCTATTGTTTTGGATGGACATGTTAGGCGCTTAGAATGATTACTTCAATATACAGGTGAACGTAATTTCTAGAGTTTGTTTCTGCTTCTGTGTAGAGGCGCCGTCCTGCAGGATCACGAGATTTGGATATCTGGCCTCCTGATAAGAGAGTGTGCGAATCAAACTGCGTAGTCACGGTAGGTTTCCTACTCGTAGCATCGTGACAACGTTTGTGCAATCGTTTCGAAATCTGGAAGATAGCTGCATTATCCATAGACGTATAAAATGGCGTAAAACCAAAAAAGGACATCCTCTTTCCATTCATATCGCATCACCCAATACGACAATGGTCCAGCAAGAAAAGGCGCGGATTTACGCCAGTGGTCAGCAATTTGTCTCAAGCGAAGTCACCTTGTGGTTTCATGGTAATGTGTTTGCCCCTATGTGGGACACATGTGAGATGTTAGATCTAGTGAGTTGGACATAATATTTGTACTAGTTAAAAGAAAGGCAGCGTAGTTTTAACCGGGGTTCCAAAAGTGTAACTAAGGTAAACTCGTCTAACTCAGCTTTTGCGGGACATGTAAAGCCTGAGTATGACTGGAACTATACCAAACTCCGATAGGTCACTCCAGAGTTGTTCTGTGGTGCGTTCAGAATATTAGCGATTGCGTTCGGTGATCTGGTTCCGCATTTGTTTGTTTTGATTGAGGTTTTGATTATTATTATATTATATTCAAATATATATATATAATGATTTAGCTTGTTAATGTCGATTGTTTCGCATCGGGTAAACTTGTGAGTGTTAGTACTCTCATGTTTGTCTGGACTCTTCTTTAGCCTGCTTGGGGCGGCATGAATTCTGTCGTCGAAAATGGCCTGCGGAGTGTTTGTATGACATTTGCGATTCTTGCTACTAACTTATGCTACTAGAAAGTTATTTATTTTATTAAATTTATCACTTAGACTGAATTGAAATAATAGTTTCACGGTAAGTCAGTAAAAAGAAATGTGTGCTAAGACTATCCATCAAGGTTATGCATCTTGCGTTTTATAAAAAAAAAAAAAAAAAGTCTAAATAGGTTTTCGCTGAGGAAGATGCTTGTAAAAACCATGCTGACAGCGACACTCGAAATCTGCAAAAAGTGTTTTCTGTTTTCGATTTGTAGTCAACTTTATTCCGATGAATAAAAAAATCTCATTTTTGTCCTTGGTTTTGTCTTCGAATGCTTGTTCTAGCTAGTCCTTTAACCGGCCAAGTAAAAACAATTAAATATATGCGGCCCAACATTGACTAAGTTCTTTCATCCATTTAGAAAATGAACGAAGAAACTATTGGAAGAAGTATTAGAAATGCTACTAAATACAACATATGAGATTAAACTAAATAGTACATACAAATTATATAGAACCTATCATTATAAAATGTATAGGCTTCGCTCTATTCTACGTTGTAACACCCAGTAGATAGCTTGTTCTAGTACTAAGGTTACTGTGATACTATTTTGAAGGCCACAGCGCGAAATGACCGTCGAAGCTCACACAGACGTAGTTTTCTTTTTTGCCATATTTCTGATAAGACTGGCAGGGCTTTTTTAGATTATCTCAACTTCGTGAATTTTGCTACAAAGGTATCACAGGTCAAAAAACTCCAGACAAGTTCAGCAGAGCGTGTCCCCGCTACACTCGTAATAGAAAAAATTCTTCGATGACGATAAAATGCCATTAAACAACAACAACAAGAAGAAAATAGGGAGAGTTTCCTTTATATGATAACTTCGGTATATTCCATTGTGTTATTATGCGAAGATCGTGCGAACTGCTCGATCTCAACCTTCTGTTGTTTTTTGATTTGTTTTTGTGCTCTAGCTCACGCTGGAAGAGGTCATTTCAGATTGGCCTCGCAACTATTATCATCGTTAGCGCGGTACTTACGTTATGCTTTGTTATCTACAGAGTTATGAAGGATAAATTTGATCCAAAAGAGTCGGCGAGAGCTCCTCCGGAAATTGTCAGCTGTGAGCACCAGAAGGAGCCGATTGATATGTTTAGTGAAAAAATACAAGCTGATGTGAGAACTTTGGAAAGCGTAATAAAATCCAAGGCAAAGTCACCTAGTGGACGTTACAGGGTAAGTAATTTTTATTAGATAGAAGATAAATTACGTTAAGGATATAAGACTTAATAACCACTATGCATATGTTTCCTTTGCTACTTGAACACATGATGGATGAAGAGGGTGTTTCGTATTTTCCCATAAATTTCATCTATATCTGTGCAAAACAGTTCTATTATGGTATAATATCAAAAAAGTTTGCTAAACCACTGTCAAGTTCCGTTTTTTGTACGTACCTTCCTTTCCCTCTATAAGACGCGGGTCGCCATTCAATTTCAGTTGGAAGTCACAGCATCGGTAGCACAGAGGGCGATTACTGGACAGCTGTTCAAAGCAGGCTTCGTAGCATTTGTATTCGGATTCACCGAAACAAACCTTACAATCATCTATGTGTTCACTGGGTGTAAGGACAAGCAAAGCGTTCGTTTATTGAAGACATTCGACTACGACGTTAAGCGGTGAGTAGTAATGTAACGGGCGAAATTTTTATTGTGTTTATGCGGTAACAGCGATACTGTTTTTTGATGATATCGATTTTTTGAGAAAAATAGGAAACTAATAGACGAAATAGGTAAAAGCCTTTTGATACTCAAAGGAAAAGCCAGTTACCAACTTTTCATTTTACATGCTGCAACATGTTGAAATAGGAAAAAAGCAAAATATGGTGGACATACAAGCAAACAAACTGAAGTGAATACTTCTAAAGCGTGAAGCGGTTTTTTTTTTGTAACTATCAAGAGACACGTGTATTATACGTGGCGTATTTCAGAGCTCAAGCGGATCTAATCATGTTGATACCCATCAGCGAAGTTATTGATCACTTCGATTGCATCAATGAACAGATTCAAGCAGACGACAGCGACCTGGGAATATCCAGAGTGCGAATGAATCTTCATCTTGATTATAGCAAGCGGCGCCTGATCGTAGAGACATGCACGTTGAAGGGATGCAGCAGGTCCATCGACGGTGCGGTAAGCAAGCGTTGACAGGACATCCTAGTGAAATTCCTGACTATAGGCCGAACGAGCAATGAGAAAAACTCGATATCACTTTATTTATTACTGTTATACGAAATTATTTTTGGTTAAGGTGAATGTACATGTAGTACTTGTAAACCACACATGTCTCTATAGGATCAATGCTGAAACGGTTGTTTTCATTGAATTTTTTTCATTACGTTTTTCCAGATTCAGATGCGCGACACCAATCAAACGTATCCGACACCTCTTACCTACATCATTGTTGACAGGTTCGGATCAAAACGACAGAATGAAAACGGCCCTTGTCACTTTGAAGTCCTATTGGAAGTAAAGACATGGTGCGAGATTGTTGAGGCATAAAACGCCCATCTATGTATACACATGCACATGCACGTGCAAAGATGTACCCTGAAAGATGTCACATAGTGCAAATGTTAAAAATGGCCCTATCAGCTTGGTGATCAGGCCCGTATTGACATACATGTAGATAGCAAAAGCCCGTCCACAGAGAGCATTTTTGCGTTGAAAATAATCAACTAGTGTAAGGAGCTGGGCGGATATCTACCATTAGCAAGCAATAATTTTATAGTATACCTTATTCCAACATATAGAGAGGTTCGGAGCTGTATTATACCTTTGAAAGCCCATTTTAGTCGTCTTGCTGGTAGCCAATGTTCATAGCCGAAACATACGTGCATATATATATATATATATATATATATATATATATGCCTGCCCTTGCTTGAAAAACATAATGTCTGCGAAGTTATAGTAGATAGCCATCCGTCGAAGTGTCACAAACTGTAATAGTTTTCCTATTATGACCGTTCTGTTTGTAATTTAGTCAATTAGTTGTACAAAAAAGGAGCGTTCATGTAATAAAGTAGCTCTTCTTGATAATTAACCGTAATTTATATGATTTAAAAAAAAATATAACTTTGTTTCTACTTCATAATGCGTTTGTCTATTCGTTTGAATAAAGGTCATAGTAATAATAGTTGGACAGTATCTAGGGGCCCCTTTTCGATATTAATCGCTTGCATAGGCACTGGAATCGGTTGGCAACGGTCTTTGCGACGGAGAGAAAGTTGAGGATACTGGTGTAGAGGGTGTTCCGTTTTTAACATCCCCCTTTGTTATGCGTGAATTGAATGAACCCCATACTCGAGCCTTTTTACACGAGTACTATACGAGAAGACAACAAGGTGTCTGAAATAGCGCGTCATTGCACTTGCCCATAGCTTAAGAAGCTCAGTGTCAACATATCTAGCTTGTATAGAATAGAATAAAGCTAACCTGATCTCAGCCGACGTGTCGCTTCTGTTACCGAGTGGTTCTTAAGGCAAGTTTTTCCCCTCAGCCTAGGTGTAACATAAAATCGAAGTTAAGTAGGGATGCGTGGACCCTGGTGCAGCGCGCACGAAGAATACGAGCTAGCAAGTGTTACGCATGCAATTTACGTACCATACATAACAATCAATGTCGAGTGATAACAATATCAAGGTGCCGTTGATTGCAAGCCATGCGTACTCTACTAACACGTAAATGAAGACTGTAACCTCAACAACTAACGTACGAATGTATGTGACACCACTGATGTGTAATTTATTCCAGTGATGTACGTTCCAGACCAAAAAACTTGTTAAAACGGCGGCAATGAGCTAGACTTTTCCAGTGCTTGTAACACGCGCTCAACAAACAAACATACAATTGCATTATTGCTTCATTGGTATTTTAAAACATAACTTGCAGTAAGTGTTTGGGTGTCGCACAGCCCGTACAATTCTAGGGTAGGTTACTATCAACGATACCGGGCAGCCTATATTACCTCCGCAAATGCGAAGTGGATTTTACAGGAATTGAAAGAAAAATATCGGCTTCGAAACTAAGCGTCCTGTTGCCCATAACTCCTCCTAACTTGGCAAAGGACGAGGAACATTCTACAGAAATTACATCTTTCAAAATGTCGTTTTATCCACCGTCAACAGCGGACTCACTTGAAACACGTACCAAGTTTTTTCCAAACATTTCTCATTCTATTAACTCAGTCGAATGAACTTTGCATTCGTTTACCTGTGATAATTACTGCCTCATCTTACCACCTTACTGGTTATTGCCATATGAATGGATTGTCCACGTGTGCGTGGTCGCGGACTATACGTGTTGCGTCGTGTTGTAATACTAACAGTGTTCTACATATGTCATCGTATAAAATTCGCCATGTTAGAAGCGTCAGTTACCCATGATCATACCGGCGATATGGATTAATATCTGCACTACTATTTCGTATACTTATTCATGATAGGCCGGGTCGTTATTTTTTTTATGTAATATAATAATTAACAAAAAGCATTTCGTTTGTGTGTGGCAAGTGGCATCGACCCCCCCCCCCCCCGACTGTGGGTGATGCTGGAATGTAAGCAGGGTGTTTGACTGTCTGGCATTGAACACCGACTGGATCATACACACACTGGTAACGATCATCATAACATAACAATTATTCCAAAATAAGCGTACTTTTCTTTAACGAAATGCACGTACGTGTATGTTGTAACTTCTCGCTATTCAGATCAGCATTTCTATACCGAATACGGTGTATACGCAACAACACAGTAAAGCTGAAACCTTTAAATGGCCAAAGATATACATGTTCTCGTCTTCGAAACGAACGAATTAAAATTTGGAAAAACGTAGAATATTCCGTTGGTCGAAGTAATACTCTAATTAGCCTTTAGTCCGTTGCTTGATAATTGCACGTATCGACAAAAATAGAGATGAGCAAAATGAGCCCCGTCATGCCAACAGCACACGATTTGCAAGACTATACATATAAATCATGTCCCGGCCCAACTCATGCCCATAGTATTAGACCCCTATAGCTATGCGATAATGGATGTTCATCCATTTACAACGTTTTACAAGGTTGCATTTAGTTGTTAGCTAGGTCCTGGGCTTAACGAAACTGGGCGCTACCCAAAGTGCAAATTACCGATAAGACTCTTAACATATTTACCCGTAGAGGTGTAGCGGCAAATGACATAGCCGAACAGTTCCTACTGAGTTATATTTGGTTAGGAACGATAGAATAGAGTAAAATTTTATCTAAACAAGACGTTAACATAAACCCGTAGTTGGAATAAAAAAGTAAAGTTAAGAGGATTTTCATCCTGAACAATTAATAATTGCTGCATCAGTGTCCTGTTGAGACATTCTGCCTTTTGCGATCTAGGCGATTCGTGGGTCAGAGTTACACGGGCGTAGGCGATTTTAGATATCAACGAGTTGAGCGCTCCCAGGCAGGGTAATAGAAAATATAACTACCCGATATAATTACTTGGGAAGCAATGACAGCCAAACCTTGATAGGGTTTTGCCTACTTGAAGGTACTTTTTGAGCGGCTAAATTTTTGTACACGTCAAGACCTATAGTTCCGTTTTTCTGAATCACAAATAGGGGTGCACAGCGCGTTATAGAGTAGTTGGTTCGCCCGTCTGCGTAGCGGACGTTCGAGCAGAGGCCCGTCCTCGAGCAAATAGTCCATTATGCCAATTTGCTTGAGTCATAATTTGAATTGAACAATTTGCTTTTTGGTCGGTTGTGGCGTCGAGAGTTGGGCGAAATAATATTTACGCGTCCCGTACGACAAGTAGTAGTCGTTTTGGATTTCAAAAACACCTGCGGCTGTCTCTCATAATAAACACGAATTTTTAGACGATCGTTTACTACACATTTGCGCGTAGAACTAGCACAATCCTTGGCAAAAAAAAAGCCTACCTGTAATATTAGTTAGCTAACTGCAATAGGGACCCGCACCTGAATACCAGAGATCTTTTCCTTGTCTATCTCTTTGTTCCAAAGAGATCTTGGCGGATGTCGGTCGTTATCCAGCTTCAAAACCTTAGCTCCCGAAATACACTGATTGGAACAACGTTTTGAAGTAGAAGGAAATCGACTCGATAGCTATGTGTTGCGCTAATTAGCGATCGAAGCTGCCTTTTACACATTCTAAGTAAGTACTGTGTACTACTGTCAATGTGTGAGTGGACCCCGATTGATTTTACTCGAGAAAAAAGCATGCGTAAAAGAAAAAATGTATTCTAATATTGAAAATCAACAATCAGTGGCCCAGTTTTTGTTCGTCGAAAACCACACCACCACAGGAATTCATCGAGGATTAGGTAATGAAGACATTAAGCAAGAAAGCTTCAAGCGAGAGTGCAGCACATAGACACTGAAAACATGTCAGTAACAGGGATTTCGGCGTTGAAGACGACAAGGAATCTAAAAGTTCCATCGGCATTTCACATCCAACGTGCTACAGAAATATAGCCTAAATACAGGAAATGCGGATTTGTTTCTTTTTATTTTAGGCCTATTGGATGCGCGTATAATGTATTCCACGTGCAATTTGTAGAATTTTCGTCATAGAGCATACGGCTTTCATACAGAGGCACAGTTCAGTCTCTACCGCCATCCAAAGCAAAAGCCAACAGATGACGTCGCCCTGGAGTTCAGTCGTAATGTCGAATAGGTTTGCACGATAAATGATGACAGTGCATCAGGGGCTTTGCTACTATGGGATATTAGCTAAAAATGAAACAACAAATGCAGTCCGCTATCTCGAGTTCCTCAAGAATCCTATGGATCCATAGATATGGCAATTGAAAGCACGCGGTCTGGTTACCTGGTAGCGACGCCAGTCCTTTCGCCATACCTCACTTACCTCCTGGATTACGCTGAACGTTAGCTTCCACTCGCTCGTCCCTTGATCTGTAATCCAGGTGACGACGGGCTGGTATAAAAAAGCCATAGGTGAACAAGTATATCTCCGTATCGAAGGCCGCGCATCAGAGCGCAGGAATAACTGTGTAAAGAGTAAAATAGAGCATATCTGACACATCTTAAGAAAACCATCATTTTAGATTAGTCAGTTGTAAAGTTATTTAAATTCAACGTCCACCGGATTTACTTGTAACAGCCTAATATTTCTTACGCCATCCAAGAGATTTACTTGACCTGGTTTTTGCAACCGGATTATAATAAATACGCCTGCTACATGCACTCTCCTCGTGATATTTTTGATCCTAAATAAGCACATATTGGTGACACATACCCGGTCCTACATCTCTTTCATGCGGACCAAGTCGAGTCCGATGCCAGCCTTATTATTCCTAGCGTATGACGCAAGTTTAACTCTGAGTATCCACCGGTCCGTACGTATACGATCGTAGTAGCCACACAACGTTTGCGGCTGACAAAAAAAAAGTTAGATATACATGTAGTAATGCAGCAAGGTCATATTGTTCAAAGGTGGAAATGAAAAAAGTTTATGCACCAAGCCGGAAGCGCATAACGGGTATAATCAGCTAGAGCATCCATTTAGAGCAGCAGGGGATTTTCGCTAAGCAAGTTGGAAAGACGTCTGTGTTTTCTTCTAGTTTTCCCAGGTTTTCCTCAGTTCCCGAGTGTAGCCCAAACGCATGCGTATATACGCACAAGATCGCGCTAATTCTTATTACGTGTGCTCAGAGGCAGTTACTTTGATGATATTCTTTAATAGATGCTTGAAATTCTATTACTACTAGATATATTGCATTTTCTCGACCAGCTATTATTTAGCATATGAGTGGGTTGCACATGATAGGTCCTGCCGTCTGATTCGATATCGTAGCATTTGTATGTTCAAATCGCTGACGGCGGCGAAACGTCCGCTGTTATACTAACGATTAGGCATCTGATCGCTAGTAAAGTAGCGATGCCATTGCAAATGATAGGCTTCAAGTTCTTCCATCTTGCATCTGTACATCGTTGCAGTTGCTAAAATAGCAAGTTTTACATCCGGTTTTACTGTCTTAGTCAAGCATTGCTTTAGACGGCTGGCTGTTACGAGCGCAAAACGAACCGCGTGTACGGTAAGCTCGGTTTCGGACATAGACCACCTCATCTATAAATTTAATAGGAAAACATGTTACCACAGCCCCATGGCCAGAAAGTTATTATGACCACCAATGCTGCTAACATCATCACTCTACAGCCATCAAGTAATTAAGCACCTCCCCGGATTCTTTTGGAAAAACGCTGCAACGAAAACGACACGGGCCTTCCAGGTCAGTGGCGAAAGCAGTTGCAAAACTTCTGACGTTCAAAATGTCTAAATGGCGCTATAAAGAAAGACCAGTGGCACCATTAGCTAGTGCGCGTACAAACCAGTTGGTAAACATTACACCACTTTTGCATTGTCCTTACTATTCAATAGAATGCAGGGGGTTAAATTTTTCACGGCGT